GGGGGGTGAATAGCGTTTAAAACAAAATCGCAGGAAATTAAAACGAGAGCGTTAAAGTAAAGAGCGTAAGGAAGGAACACACCGGATTTTATCCTGGTTCACCACAACGTGTGGCTAATCCAGCCCCCCGAGAGACTCTCTCGAGCTACACTAACTCCGTTAAGCTTAAGGGTGCTTAACAAACCGATACAACTTGAGAACCCGAGTCACACGAGCCTCAACACCTTTGCTCGGAGATACCGCACTCCAAGACTTCTCACGAAGGAACAAGGAACTTCCTTCGAGTTTACAACAAGGGAACAACCTCCCTTAAAGTGTATGAAAACACTTAAACACTCAGGAATAAAACTCTCACAAAGAGTAGATATGAGTGAACTAGTAAACGCTCAAAAACATGACAATTTCTTCAAGAATTGGCTCTCAAATAGCTAAGAAAAAATAGGAATGCTTATGCAATCAAAGAGTATTGAAATGTTGAAGAATTGTGTGTCAAATGAGAGGATTTGGGTGCCATTTTATAGCCCAAAATGGGATAAACCCGTTGCTAGAATTTCCAACAGGATGAAGACAAATTTTTCAGGGACACAGGCTGATAGTCGATTGTCAATGCATGATAATCGATTATCCAAAGATTCCCTGTCCAAAAATTTAAAATTCTATCCGTTGGAGGACAACGGTAACCCAGATAATCGATTGTCAACAAGTGATAATCGATTATTGGTCCTCTCAGAAGATTCTGGGTTTTGGCTGCAAAGACTGATAATCGATTATTGCAAATCTGATAATCGATTATTGCGTGCTTCAGAACTTTGGAAGTTCAAAGCTGCAGTGGAGGATAGTCTAAAAACCAAGTCTCCAAAATCGTATAATGCGTACGTACGGTTTAGACCGTTTTTCACGTATTAGACCGATTGACCAAGATACAAAAGTGGTTTTTATAAAATAATTATTTGGAAACATTTTAAAAATGCTCAGAGGTAAAAACAGGGTTTAAAATATTGAAAACCACGGAGTTGGTTCGGGCGCCAAAAACCGAACGCCGAAAGCCGAACGTCGAAAGAGGTGGTTTTGGTTCTGAGCAAGGACCAGGGATTTTAACAATAAAAGAAATCATCAAAAATGTTTGTTTTGATGCACAAAAAATATTTTATGGATTGTAAAAATTGTTTTGACTATTTGAGAACCGAGACTTGAATATATTGTCAGTTTTGATCACAAAAGACCGACTCGACTAAGTCTTCAATTCTTGATCTTGTCCTTGAGTCTTTTAGGTCTTGTTCCAAGCCATTCTTCACGCCTTGAGTTATTCAACGAAACTCTTTATATCCACGGCGGTTTGGCAATTATCAAAACCTGTCAGAAATGAACACGACTTTAGTTTATCGTACAAAGTGTGTTCCAACA